AAAAAAAAAAAAAAAAAAAAAAAAAAAAAAGACATTACCCACCCTCGCCTTTCTCCCAGTGCGCCGACCCTACCACCTGTCCTACCCGAACACAATCTCTCAACTGCATGCTCACAGGTCAAACCGTCATCATGATGCATCTGTTTCTCATCATGTTAATTGGCTTCCAATGCCTTGCAAGTTACAAGGCTTGCAAGGCTTGTAAGGCTTGCATACCCCCTGAGACACCGTAGTAGTAGTAGAGATGTATTCTCCAGGGAGGTCTGGACAGTTGGCCCAAGAAACAGTTGTGTCATCTTTCGCACGGCCGTGCCAGTGCAAGGAAAGCAATTTGCATTCCAGCTGCGAGTCTGTGCGCGATGTTGACCCCTTCAAACAGGTATGACCCCGCCACTCTCAGAGGATTGATCTACGCAATTCTTCATCTGACATTGAAACGTTTTTGATGTTGAACAGATGATTCAGATGTGTTCGGCAGTGCATCTGGACATCAGTGTCACATCACCATCTATTGCAACTTCTCAATTAGCCGGTTCAGGGCATTCCATTATAGTTCAACAAAAGAGGCCGGGGACCTCAAAATTCAACCCGGAAAACAGGAATAAAGAATATCTAGGCACAGAAATAGCCAACTCTAGGCTGCTGTCCTGAAACCTCATTCCTAGTGAAACGCAACACAAGCCTCAAAGCCGAACAATTCACAAAACTTAACTACCACATACCCACACTATCCTAGCAACTACTTGCAGCTGTCTAAGGCGGCAGTTGGACCCAAGACTGGTTCGATTGAGCCACTTGATACCCCCTCCGCTAACCTATCCCTCTGCCCTCCTCCTGTGGAGATAGAACCGAGTATCCAGGTAGGAAGCCAAACACAACAACCAAAGAGTCAGACCAATAAAAACTATAAAGCTACCACACAAACCGAAAAGACAACTCCGCAAAGCAAGCCAAACAACTCTATCGAAAACTGCCCTTGACCAAACCACTCTCAGACCTGTTCAAAGAACCATTTGTCCAATACCAACTTTCCGTCCACCAGTGTTGCCAATTTGTCGGCCAGTCCCCATGTATTGCAGAACCAGCGGGTGGAGCCCCCCTTACCTTTTCTTTGCCAATCTGCCTGTTGCAACTTGAAGAGCACTGGTATGTTCAAATATGAAACTGATTCCCTTCGCCGTCGCCATCTCTATGATCCTACAATGTGTACGATTCAGTAGTCCATGAGCATTCAGCTCTTTTGTTTGACCCTTGGAATGCATTGATGATTGATCCGACCCATTTGACATCAATGACATGCGAAGAAGGGTGTTGACAATGTCGTTGACCGTACCGTGCCCTTTTCTCGCTGGGGTGTTGCTGCCCGCAAGGCGGCAAGGGTTTCTCGATTCAACAACTTCAAATGATCGTCCACACGCAGCACACTGCGTTGTTGCAGCCCGCAAGGCGGCAAGGGTTTCTCAATGCAACGACTTCAAATCGTCCAAAGAACTGCAGGTTCCAATGGACTGGCTTGACTATCGCCTACCACTCTTTTTGCCCATGCGTTGAGTGGTTTATTTCACATTGCACCATTGTCAAATCCCGACGACGGGCCACCGTATCAATTTTTATTTTTTCTTCAAACCCCCTCCCCCTCCTCCCCCCCTCCCCCCCCCCCCCCCCCCCCCCCCCCCTTTTTTTTTTTTTTTTGCCAAGGACCAGACCCGCGGTGATTGCTGGTAGCGGCAGGCTGGCAGCCAATGGTTGTCCTGACAGGATAGGCCACCTACGCTACCTTACCCATCCCCACGTGCATCTTTCTTGTGTCGTGTTGACTGGCTTGCACAGTTTAGGAAGTTGGGAGTGCAATAATGAAGTAAACCTTAAATAAAAAATAAAAAAAAGTAAGGAAAAAAAAAAGATCGTGGACCATGTTAATTCAAATTTGTGCCATCATCCAGCCGCCTAGCTTAGGCTAGCTAGTAAGTTGGTAAGGCACGCAAGTGGCATTCAGGAGGTCTTGAGTTCAATCCCCATTGGCCTCATGTTACCTTCCTGGGCAAGCTTGGCGCCCGCCACCTGGTAGAGATATGTCGTTGGACCGTTGGTGACCCCTAGTGGCATTGAGCAGAGACTGCTGATGCTCATAGGATACGTGGACGGGACCAGAGGGGGCCCACAGTGACTAGCCCATCAAAGAAGCTCGGTCCTGATGCTACCGATTGACACCTGGCTGGTATCGCCCACCTGCTGTAGCATCCGTAATACTATAATCATTATGACAATATAAAAAGGCCTGAAAGGCCATGATCCTGTCCGGATTCGACAGGTAATTGAATTGGTTGGGCCCCCACAGGCGGCCCCCACCCTGCACCCTAAAACGCTAGGGCAAAGGGGCAAACATGCCCTTACCCCTCTCCAACGACCGAGAGAGGTAACCTCCCTTCACCGAAGAGAGGTAGAAAGCTATGCTTGCAGGGGTCCCCTGTTACAGTATAGCCTTAGGTGTAGTGTGTAAGATATATATAAAATAAAAAAGGTTAAAAGAATTATCCTTTACAAAAAATAAAAAATATAAACACTGCCCCATGGTTGGCTGGCCTCATTGCAATCCAGGGGGAAAAAAAAAAAAAAAAAAAAAAAAAGACCCAAAAAAAAACGGGGAAGTAAATCTCTATCCTGCAGGGCGCATGCATGTGGTTGGGGAACTTGGGGGGAGAAACAATTGCGTCATCTCAGCACTGTTTTCCAAGCACAGCAATTTCAATTGCAAATGCGGGGTGTTGATTCAACAAACCCTTAACCCCCCGCAGGCCCCCCGTATTTCCTACTGAAGTCGTGCCTGTTAACATGCCAAGATTTTAGGAAATGTACGGCCCACTTCAGGAGCACCCAAATTCATCCAACTAGAAAAGTTTGTACCCTATTTTTTCCCGCGGCGGATAGCTGGGTCAAGTACTGGTGGGTTTAAAGCAGGACCCAACTATGAACCCCTTTATACTATTTAGTATTTAGAGGAGTGATCTACACAATTATTTGTCTTCCCTATGCACGTTTGTATGTTAGACATCCGGTCTGTTTTGCACATTGAAAACGACTGCAAGCGCTTTGACATGGCATTGCATGCATACGCCTCTGTCACCACTCCCCATCATCACCATCTCCACCACTCCCCATCATCACCATCTCCTCCACTCCCCATCATCACCATCTCCACCACTCCCCATCATCACCATCTCCATTTTTTTTTAATTTTTTTATTTTTTTTATTTTTTTTTGGCAACCAGCATTCAATTTTGTTGTCCGACCCTTTGGATGTGCAATGTGTGGACCCCCTTAAACATCTAAGGGGCATTTTGACTATTCCCTGTTTGGATGGGCCGTTGCATCTTGCCGCGAGGACTCTATGATTCGAACCCACCACCCCGTGACTTGCAATGCGGCCCAAGGCTTGCACTTGCAGATGATGCATCAGCAGTAGCATAGCATCCAGGACAGCCTTCGACTCCCCTTTGGGAAGTTTGGGCCTTTGCCGTAATCCTCATCTCTACTGTACAAAATGGTAAAAATTCACTAGGTAGCCAGCATACACTTTTGATATTGGCTCTCGGAATCCACGGCAGTGCTCACGCACTCTACCATATATGTTTTGAGGGCGATCTTGACCGTGCCCTTTTTCGGAGGCAATCATCCCACCCTACCACGCTTTGAAATTCACACTTCGACGACTTCACACAATGTCATTCCACTCCGTGTATTCCACTTTTTTAAGTTCTTCAACAAATTGTTCCTAGCTGGACCTTAGTCTTAGGAACCCAGGACAGACAGTGATGGGACACTAGACGCGGTTTCCAGCACCTGTGTTCTCCCGCAACTCATCTCATGGTTTGTTTGTTTTTCTATGATTTTTCACAAGGGACACTGAGCCCGGTTCTCTGCTTGTGCTGCTTCCCACGAATAAATTGGAGCGGCGATGGAGCCTGTTCAAAAAAAAAAAAAAAAAAAAAAAAGGAAAAAAAAAAAAGAAAAGAAAAGAGAGAGAGTGTGTGCAGTGCGCTTAAGCACTACCATTTATCATATTGGCGGCAATCATCAATCATCCCACCCTCGTCATCTGCTTCTTACCTGACCCTTTTTTGTTTCTATCCCTGCCACATCTGCCACCTTACATTACAAATTTTTGTTCCCATGTCATGTGTTTCATCTCGCAAGGCACGCCGTTCGAATCTCCGCATCACTGTCCGGGTGGTGGCACGCTTAATATTTGTATTTGGCTCTTGGAATCCACAGGCAGTGCTGCACGCCGTTTGAATCTCCACATCACTGTCCATGTAGGCAGTCAGGACAACTTCAAGAAACGAACTTACAGCACCCGTACACAGGCACCTGGGCCGCGGGTCGGACACGTCAAATTCTGGCAGCGCAACAAAAATGCGGGCGCCGAGTGAATATATCCACGGCGGGCCGAGTGTTTGAAGTTTCCACTGCGTTTCCTTGTGGCGACCAGTGTCCGACTGCCGTGTCTTACGCTTTACAATACATCTGAATGTGGTCTTGAATCTGGACATGTCATTTTTCAGCTGTGTGCCCTCCTCATCCCTCTTGTGTATAGTTTTCTTCGCAAATGGATGGAGAGTCATCATGCTCTTCATCTTCATCATGGCTTTAAAATTTAAATGTTGTAACGGAGATTTCTGCAACGGCAACATGTTCATGGAACAGATCGGGAGGGACAAAGGGAACAGATGGGGAGAGAGAGAGGGACAGCGGAAGAGAAAGAGAAAGGGAGCGCGGAAACCAAACTGAAAGGTTCTCGATCCAGGGCACGAGCATGTTGCGATTTTTCGGAAGTAAACGGATGAAAGTGACATATGCTTAACATATGATTATATTTGTGGAGAGGTTTGCTCGAGACAAGTGATTGAATTGTTCACCCACCATTAGAATTCAAAAAAAAAAGAAAAAAAGAAGAAGAAGAAGAAGAAGAAGAGAAAGAAAGGAAAAACAAGAGAAGTGAATGCTGCAGCATCCCATGCATCCGGCAAAGCAATTTTCTGTTTTTTTTTTTTTTTTTTTTTTTGGACTCCCTCCTCCTCTTAGCCCCACTCCATACCTGATGATCTCCTTCCATTACTACATGCTTCCCCAGAATAAAACACCCCCTCATTATAACTGTATCCAGCCAGAAACGTTGCTTGTATACATTCATGAATCATGATCAGGGTGTGTTGGGTTCAGAAAGGAAAACTGTAGTCTGCCTTCCCCCTTGGCATCTGAGTTCACCCTCTTTGAGATTGAACGACTCGGTATCCATCACATGCGATCACTGATTGGACAAGCCAAGCAGGCCACTAGGTCCTGCATGCCCCTCTCCCCCCCCCTCCCCCCTCCCAAAAAAACGATAAATACCATGCATTGGTTGACAGGAATCCGCCCTCCTTTCCGTCCCCCCCCCCCACACACACACAAACAAACAGTAAGTACCTAAGCATATGCTGATTGGGGCATGTAATTAGCCAAAGTGGCTGCTCGAAGATTCCACCTAATGTTATGTCATTCTGCAACGAAAGGTTCGGTGCGTAGTCGTGCTCCAATGCTGCACTGTCGCGACGCTGCACGTCCGCTTGCCGTGTCATCCATGCAATTCTGGCATTGTGCAGTTAGGTTGCTTCGGCAGCATTTCCTGGGGCTTCGCTGAGTTGTTGCCTGCCAGTGCTGCTGTGTTCTGCTTGTGGACAACCGGCCTTCAACGAGGGTCGAAGCGTTCATCAATACGGGATCGCGCAGATTGTCGAGGAGTCCGTGCAGCTCCAACGAAACAATCTATCGTCAGTTTTCTTTTTTCTTTTTTTTTTCTTTATTTCTTTTTTTTTCGAAGTCGTCAGTTTTTTTTTTTTTGAGCTTTGATATTTTTTTAGTACTTAAATTTGTTTTGTGTTTTCATATCCGTTTCGCATTTTCCCTTGTTGCCTTGTACTGTTTATCTTCCCACCCACCTCCCCCACCTTGCCCTCCAAGTTCCAACCTGTGTGTGCAGCTGTCATTCGTTGGCCACTTTTTTTTTTTTTCGCCCTTTCTCGTGGAGTCTTGTCTTGCTTGTCCGCCTACCCCCCGCATCCCCCCCCAATCCCCTCTGGGCTTATGGATGCCTTGTGCGGTGGCGCCGGTGCGTTGTATGCTTTGTTACCTCCGTGCCTTTTGCCTTATTGTCTTACATCTCAATTGCTCATTGGATTTGTTGCTGTATGAGTACTCACGCCAACGGCCTACCGTCTTCACCCGAATAGAATGCCTGGTCATTATAGCTGCTGAGTGCATCTGGAGAGAAAATCGCCCTGAATACTGCTATGATGGCCGGGCGTTCTGTTCAGGTGAAGACGGCAGGCGTCCTCGACTGGTTCGGCAATGGTCCGTGTTCGTGGCCTTCCTGCTCATCCTTCTCTCTATCCCGGTAAGTGCCGATTACTCGAAGCTTCATGGTACAGTTCCCATACCATGACATCTATATACATACAATTACTTTTGCATGTCACACACTTGTCACACACATGGCACACACATGGCACACACATGGCACAAAACCCACAAATGGGAAAAAGAAGACTGGAGCCCGTAGCTGGGCTGCTAGTGGTGGATGCTCTTCTCATCACCACTAGCAGCCTGGGTCGGTTTTAAAATAAAATTAAAAAAATGAATTAAAAAAAAAAAAACAATGGGAAAAAGAGGATTCATAAACACTTTTGGGTGCGGTCCTTCCGCATATGCTCCCTTGGAGTGCAAAATGTTGAAAAGAACAACAGACAACCAACACTCTCAGAAAAGAACATGAAGGACCACCCACCCTCCCTCCCTCCACAGCCACATTTTTCTTCCTGCAATCATAAACCATCTCACCCCAAACACTGTCGAATTCTTGACATAATCGAACACACCCACTTATTGGGAAAAAAAAACAACTTTCAGTAAATTCAACCCACGGTGCAAATTGAGCCGCAACCTCCTCCGCGCATTTCACAGCGCGATTGAATTGCCTATGTCGAGCTCAGCCAATGCTCACGACCCCTCGAGGCTTTCCTGAGCCGGCGTCATTAGGACACAAGCACATTACCAAAACCGGCGGCTCCTTCGTGGAGTGCTTTCCTGTGCACATTTCCCATCGCCGCATGCATCCCCTCTTCAAACCCACCCAGCCCCCACCCCCCACCCCCACCCCCAGCAACAGACTAACGTTGAACCCTTTAACTTCGATGCGCACCAGCTGGCTGAAGAAACTCCCCCCTGCTGCATGCATCCCCCACCTCTTCCACACAGCAACAGGAAGGCTTCTCTGTCACCCCCTCTGCTCTCTCCTTCCTGCAAATGAACTCCGCAAAACAAGGTTCATTCCTTGACGGTTCGACAATATCAATATATCCATTTGCAGCAAACCGCCTCAATTTTCGATCGACCTTATATCCAGTCTCCGTTACTTGCCGCGCTGGGAGTTGTCAGGCACCCTTCTCTTGCACAGAACAGGGACACTCCACTGCAACACCACATTTCAATTTAAGCTGGCACTTGCATCATTCCGCGTAAGCTTGTCGCCTCCTCGTAAACTCTAGTATCCCCATTTCAATTTTTAGCGAGGAACAAGCCAGGCAGCAATCAGCAGAGTGCCTTTACCTTCCTCATCCACCTCCCATGCGCCCGCAGGCCGCTGCGGTTGCTGCAAGACCGATCCAAAGAAAAAAGAAACGAATTTTGCACAGAAATAGAACGTAAGCAAGCAGGCCAAGCTGAAGACACTACCCATTCGTGATCAAATGATGTAGACTCAAAGAAACACACAGAAAAAAAGCGGGCCAAGCTGCAGACGCTACGAATTGGTGATCGAATCAAATGATGGACTCAAAGAAACACAGACTCGATGATGGCCAGCGAAGGACGAGGAATGAGGGGACTACAAACCACGGCGTCATTCTGATGCCGACCTGCTGTGGATAAGGAAGTAATCGCAAACCCCAGCCTTGTGGCTATATGGTACACATGTGTAGATGTTGATAAGCATATAGGTCACGAGTTCAAATCCTGATTGATATGCAATAACATTAGAGGCTAACCCCCCCTCTTAATTTCAGAAAAATAAAGCAAGGATTCAAAGGAAGTCCATAAACCAACCACTACAGACTGTTTTCCTTTCCAAGATAGGCTCCCGAAGAACAAGAGAGAGAGAGAGAGAGAGAGAGAGAGAGAGAGAGAGAGAGAGAGAGAGAGAGAGAGAGAGA